CCTAGGAGGGAGGTCTCACTTTCAGCCCCTCCGAGTTCTGCCCAAAGAGGGCAGCAGTGAGGCCTTGGGGGAAGCAGAATGTTTGGTGACTTCAGTGCTGGAAAGGAGGACCCAGGGTCGGGTTGATCTGAATCCACCAGCCACGGCCCTGCTCCTGCTGGCCTCTGGGCAGCATCTGCTCTGGCTTCCAGCTCAGCCCCTTTGTTGGTAAGAGTAGCATGTGGAGCCCAGAGAAGGGCAGTGAGTGCCCTAAGGTCTGCCAGGGCTGCCCTGTCTTCCCCATCCCCAGAGGCCAAGAGGGAGGACTCAGGCCTCCCCAAACACAACTCCCAGGCAATCTGGAGCAGAGGCATCGCCCTGGGCAGGGCAGGGGAGCCCCAATTCATTACCAAGATGGAAAATGACACTTCCCTGTGTGCTTCCCCAGGAGAGGGGCTGATTTATGGCTGCACTGCGCCGAGACATTCGTCAGCGCCTCGTGGCGCGCACGCCATCTGCGGGGGCATTAATAGTGTGTTATTAGCCACCGGTGTGAAAGATGCCCTGTGGATGGGCTATTGCTGTTATTTATTATAAAGGCGCCAGCCCAGCAGTGGGCCCGTTGGAGCCTGAGCTTGGCCCCCGCCACTGCCTCCCCGCCACTTGTCCCTGTTCTCTTCCCAGCCTCTACCAGGGGTTGGGGGGGCCATCCCTGGGGCTGAGGCCACGCTGGAAGAGAGCAGCTAGCTATGATCCCCCAGGCCTGCGCCACAAATATTTATGGAGAACCTGTTCAGTGCCCAACTCTGCCTCAAAAATGGGCTGCGGAGCCAGTCGGAAGTGGGTTGGTGCCCTGGCCTTCCAGTTGGTGAGCCATGTGACCTTGGGCACTTCCCTCCCCTCCCTGAGTGCGCTCCCCTCTGTGCGCTGGAGGCGCAGGCTCAGCAGGGAAGTGGCTAGCTGCAAAGGAGGGAGTTTGTGGAGGGCCCGGTGCAGCAGGTGCTCAGGCTGGCCTGTTACTGCCACTACCTGGTCTGACCCCATCGGACCACAGGGGCTGCTGGTGGAGGAGAGCAGCCCCCACAGGACCCTGCTGGACACTGTCCACCATCGCCTCCCATGCCAACCCCCCAGGACAGGGTTTGAGAGTCGGTGCCGAGGCAGGAGGAGGTGGGCAGGGAGAGGGCTGTCGAAGCGCTGGAGGGCTCTCTCCGCCCTGGACCCGCCCTTCCCCCCTCTGGGCCTTGATTTTTCCTCCTCTGTAAAAACCAGTTGATCTGCGAGATCCCTCCCCAGTCCTGAGAGTGGGATTCACCCCTTGTGCGTCTGTGCGGGCAGGCGGGAGGGGCCGTCTCTAAGAAAGGGGGGCCAGCTTCTGACACCTGGCGGTGGACCCGCAGTTGGGCAGTTCCAGGCTGGTCACCCCATATGAGAGGAGATGAGTGAGGATAGCAAGGGTCTTCCCTGGGTTTGCTCTCTCCCAGGGTGGGGCCTCCCCAGCTGAGGGGCATGTAAGACACCTGGGAAGGGAAGAGCAATGGACATTCAGCCCAGGGCCTGGGTTTGTGTCTGGCTCCGCCACCACGCACTGCACAATTCAGACCAGTCCCTTTGACTCTCTGGGCCACCGTGGTGAGGGCACCTGGCTCACTGTTACCTCCTGGGGTGGGGTTAAAGGAGGGCCAGCCTCCCTCTTCTCTCCTACTGCCAGGTCCTGGGTTTCGGATTTTGGGGCCTCCCTTTTGGCTCATTCATTCATTCTCTCATTCAACAGATGTTTATGAGCACCCCCTGGGTCAGGCTGTGGGCTAGGCCCATGAATAAGACAGAACATGTCCTGACTGGTAGGAGGAGTTTGCATTCTAGAGGCAGGGGACAGACAATCAACTTGTCCTAAATAAATGAGGGGGTGTTGCACAGGACTGGGGCCTGCATGTTGAAAATGCCCAACCTCTACCCAGCTCCAAGCCTCTATTGTATTATCAGTAAGCATCGCCATACCTAGTCTTACCGGGCCACCCACTCCTCTCTCAGCCCCTGGCTGCCACGATCCTGCTGGCTGCTGAGCAGCCCAGCAGGGCAGACCCAGGGGACCACTGCCCTGTTCTCTGACACTGTCACCAGCCCTGCAGGTGCTGCCCTCTCTTCCTTCCTCCCAGCCCCCCAGAATCAAGGCCTTCGGGCCCCTCTCCTACCTCTGAAACTCCCCCAGCCTCTCCTTTTTCCTTCCCAGAAGGAACTAAACCTAACCCTAGGCAGCTTTACTAAAAATGCTCACTGACGGAGGGAGATGTCAGGTGCAGGAACCTCTTATTAAATAATGCCGGGAGAGAAAGAAACAAAATTACAGGTGTCTCCTTTCATCCCCCCACCCCCGCCTGGCCCTGAACAGTTTAATATTGAACACTGTTATCAATATAATTAACCTCCTAAGACCCAATTTTAAAGTCTTATTTTTAAAAGCAATTTACATTCTCTGAAGTTCAGGACATCCCAGCACCCAGCCCCGCCCAGGAGGCCCACGAGGGGAGATGAGCTCGAGGTACGTTTTTAGTGGATTTGCATACCTGCCTGCAATTACAGCCAGTGATAACTACTGATGCATAATGCATGCAGCATGAAATTAGAAAAATAATTAACTTTAGGTTTGAAAAGAATCCCTACCCCCACCCCCCACGCATTGCAAGTTTCAGTGGCACCAGTAGACAGATCAGGCATGAAGCTGTGCAGTGCAGGGTTAGAAAGGCCTTGAGGGCCCTGGCATCCAGCCCCACTGCCCTAAGGAGGTGCTGCCAGTGGGCATAGACTGGCCTGGGCAGGAGTCCCACTCATACTGAAATCCCAAGTCCCTCTCCTCACCTGCCATTCGCATCCCCTGGACCCGCAGGGAAGCACTGCCCATTGCTAATGACAGCACTGGTCCTGGTTCTGATTACCACTCTGCAACAGGCCCTCGGCGCAGGCTTGAAGATAACTGTCCTTTATCCTCACAGGAACCCAGGGGCATGGATAGTTCACGGCCCCATTTTACAGATGAAAGCCAGAGACCTGAGGCCACCCTGCTCAGTGGAGCAGCTGGACCAAGTCCAGGCTGGCTGCCAGGCTACCTGCCTTCACAGGGGAGGGCTTTTCTGGAGGGTGCTCTCCCCAGGCCTCCCTGAGCATGAGGAGGTAGTGGCCATACCACGTGCCACTCCCCCACCCCCACCCCGCCTCTTGACCTCCCTCCCTCCATGTTGCTTATGACCAGGGAGGTGGCGTAGGCTGGTAGGGAAGAAAATGTGGGGCCTCTCATTAATTTAAAGATTTGCTGAGGACCCATCACAGATATGGAGGTGACCCTGCCTGGTGGGGCCCCCTTCGTTTTTCCCCTTCTGGGGCTGAAACTGCTTCTGTCCCCAGTCTGCCCTGTACACTTGGCTCCTGCCTGGGGCCCTGCTCTGCCAGTGGGGCCTAAGAGCCTGGCAAGGTTTAGGGAAAACACAATTCTTCTTACTGAAGGGAAGGCCTGGGAGGGGGCACAGGAAAGGGAGGGCTAGGATCTTCCTCTGTCCCAGCCTCAGCTTCCTGGCTCACTGTGTCTGCCCTCCCTCTAATGAAACTCAACCAGGACTAGTGAGTGACCTCCCTGAGTGGGTTATAGGAGGACCTTGGGGTCCCTCCCTGGGGACAGTTGGGGCAGCTCTTCTTTCCAAAACCGCCAGGCCTGTGCTAGGCACTCCACACAACCCCTCTCTCAGCAACACATTACAGATGAGGAAACTGAGGCCCAGAGAGGCATCCCTACAGGTCACACAGCTGGGGGCTGGTGAGGCCAGATTCGAACCAAGACCTGTTGTCCTCTCCCCATTTCCAGTCCACACGCCTCTTTCTTGGAGTCACCACCATCTGGAATTCTCAGATTCCTACCTGGTGCTGAGGGGCCAGCTCTGTGTGGCCCAGATGTAGGGTCAGTGCTTCCACCCCAGCTTGAGGGGAGGGGCTGAGGAAGCACAATGTGAGGTGAGGGAACCAGTATCACAGCCCCTGACAGGATCCTGCCAGGAAGCAGCATGGCCTGCAGGCTCCCAGTCTACCCTAGAGGCTCAGCAGGGGCAGGGGCTGGGGCAGGGGAGTGAAGGAGGGGCTGGTAGAGAGCGGAGGAAGAGACAAGCAGTTAACACAGAGCCTAGACCAGTGTGCCTGGGGTAGTTGGAGAATTATAGCAGCGTTTAAACCTCATGCATATGTTACATACAGGTTGCACTTATGAGGGGGTACTCTGCACATATTATCTTACTGAATACTCAATAGTAAGTTCCCCTGTAAGGGGAATTATGATGACAATACTTATAGATGAAGAAACTGAAGCTCAGAGAGGACAAGTAACTTGCTCACGATCACACAGCCTGGAAATGGCAGAGGCAGGACTCAAACCCAGGTTTCTCTGTCCTGGAAGGTGGCAGGAGCTAGTGGCAACTGCCAAGAATGATGCCCTAGGTGCCTCCTTGGGTAATGGGAGTCTGGATACCTCCAGTCTGAGCCACCTCACTGCGTCCCCTCCCCCACCCCCATGGCAGATCAAGGATCCTGCTGTCAGTCAGAGCTGGCAGGTCATAATTCACACCATGCTGAAGTCTGTGGGATCTGTGCAACGATGACAAGTGACCCCACAAAAGACAAGCGATTTACCAAGTTTCATTTGATGGCCATATAAACCTTTCAACACACAACAAGAGACTAAAAAGGCTACCTGGCACCCAGGCAATTAATGGGCTCCTCCAGCGAGGTGTGCTCCCTGTTCCCCACCCTAGGCCCCGCCCTACTTTCCCAGAGCCAGAGGGCTCAGAGTTGGTGGCCTTGGGGAAGGGGCAGCAGGGGAGATGAGCCAAGATGGATGAGACCCACAGACAGGGGAACGGAAAGGCCTTGGGTCCCTGCCTCCCAAATGCTTCTTGGTTATCCATCAGGCATCTCTGAAATGTGCAATTTATACTCTATTATTGATGCCAGGGCCTCTGCAGGCTGAGGGCTGTGGCCATGAGCTGAGTGGGCACTGGAAACTGACATCCATGCCAGAGAAGATGGTGGCTGGCCTTGCCTTTGGCCTTAACAAGTCTGCCCCCTGCTCAGGGCACTGGCCTGGAACAGCAGAGCTCAGGGGCTACCCCAATCCTCATGCCAGGACTCAGCATTGACAGACCAGGAGGGTGTGTGTCCTCTGACCATTTGCTGGGGGCCCAGGCAGAGGCTCTCCTGGGCTTGGATTTGATCCCTCAGACCGGTGCAAGGTAGCCTTTGGATAGGCCTGCACCTTCCTGTCCTCAGCACCTGCCCTGGCCCTGATTCTCTGTTCATAAGCAGCCTGAGACAGGACCTTCAGGCTCCCTAACCTTCGTGGTTCTGGCTCTGTGCAGAGCAAGGGACAGATGTGCAGCTGGAAACCTGGGCTGGCTGTGACCCTGGATAGGCCTCTCACCCCTCTGAGCCTCAGGCTGCTCAGCTGTAAAATGGGACAGAGGACCTGTGTGTATATGACAGGTGGGAGAAGATACAAACATATGCCTTGGGGGGGGGGGGCGGTGGTTGAGGACTGCCTGGAGGAGTCCCCCTGGTGCCTGGGTTCATCCCTGTCCTCTGAAGTCGGCATGCCCAGGTATACACAACTATCCCTTGCTTTGAGCCCATCTGTCCTATAATCAGGGCCAGTGCCCTTCCCAGTCCGCGATATAATGAGAGGTGGGAGAATCAGTGTTCAGATAAGGGTCGGGCGGCCTGGGATACACACTCCACTCAGCTCTTATGAGGTGACTCAGTGCCACTGAGGGCAGGAAGGGCTGGGAAGCATGGTGCAAGGCTCTGGATGGGAGATGAGCCAGGGTGGGAAGTGGCCAGGGTGCCTGGTCAGGGAAACAAAGGTGATAGCGCGATCCACAGAGAACTGAGCAGTGGGGGTTTGAGTGGGCTGGGGCCAAGGTCCGAGGCAGCAGTCCTTGGTTCCTCAGGCCAGTGGGTGCTAGGGGGAGGGAGCTTGAGCTGGCTTCAGGGACCTGGAGTGCTGGGCATAGTCTCATCAGCCCCCCTTCCCTCACTTCCCCCTCTGGTTCCAGGCGCAGACCCCAGGCACCTTTCCCCTGCCCCTCACTTGCTTCCAGCCTGATGTCCTGGACTGGCTCTTGACCTGCCTTGGGTTCACCTTATGGACAAAGCTTCATACTGCAGACAGGCCCTGGGCAGAGTTAGTGTGTTAGCCATGGGCAAAGTTTGTGCTCTCTCCAGAAGGCCTGGAGCTGCAGGCTGGGCAAGGCCCCTGTAAATGCAAATAGGGCATGAGTGTGCTGGGCTAGTGGTGGAGGTGCTCCCGTCTTCTCAGTCCCTTCTGTACTGAGGTGGTCACTGATGCCAAGCCGTATCAGGCCAACACAGCCCATGGTCCCTGCCCTTGAGCACCTGAAATTTAGTTGGGGACATTAAAACACTAGTCACCAAACAGCGTGACCCACAGCCCGCAGACATACAGCTCTTTGAGCCTGGTGGTCAAGATTCTGCCTAGGTTCCCCCTCACTACTTCTCAAGTGGCCTTGAATAAGTTTACAACTCCAAGCTTCAGTTTTCTCTTTTGTTAAATGGGAATAAGAAGGGCTCTGACCTCATGTTTGCTGAGACGGTTAAATGACTTAAATATTCATAAAGCTCTAGGCGAGGTCTTTATTACAGTGTGAGCTACTATCCCACCAGTATGGAATCACAAGTGGCTAGAATACAGGTTGGCATATGGTACATGCTCAATAAACATCTGTTGGGTGGCTGGATGGCCAGATGCATGGAAGGGATGAAGGGATGGATGGATGGATGGATGGATGGATGGATGGATGGATGGATGGATGGATGGATGAACAAACAGATGAGTGGATGGATGGATGGATGAATTGGAGGATGGATGGATGGATGGATGGATGGATGGATGGATGGATGGATGGACAGAGAAATGGATGGATGGCTCAGTGAGTGGGTGGGTGGATGGAAGGATGGATGATGGAGCAGAGGGAAGCTCTATCTGGCATCAAGAAACCTGGCAGAGGAGGGGGCATTTGAGCCTGGTCCTGAAGGGTGAGGTGCCATTTGCTAGGTGGAGAAGAGCAGCCCTGGTGTAGAGAGAGACTGAGAAGGAAGAGGGCTTTGACATGATTGAGAAATGGAGACACTGGGTCGCTGGGGCGTGGGAGTGAGGCCCCCACTGACTCCTCCGCAAGCCTGTCCTGATTCTGCTCTTCACACCAGGCTGCCCTCCAGCCTGGAGCCTCGGCTCAGACTCCAAGAGGCCATTGTGTCCTACCACTGAAAAGCCTTTGTGAACCTAGATTTATACAGCAGGCCTTGGCCGGCTGCATGAAGACACCTTCCCCACTGAGGTTGAAAGATAATTTCTCTTTAATTGATTTTTTTTACCACTATGAACAGTTAAATAATGAGAAAAGTCTATGCTGCAATTTTTCCATTTGTGAAAACTGAAATTACACCTCCAGGCAATTCCCTCAGAGCATGGATCCCTCCCTCTCCTTTTTATTTGTCTCATTTCTTTAAATGCAAGAAAACAGATATGTATTTTTCTCTCTCTCAAGTTTTGTGATTTTGGAAGGGGACAAGGTGTGGAGTAATTTCTCACACAACACGGGACGCAGCTAGGGAGGGCACCTCTGATAAAAAGAGATTTCTGTAAATACACAAGAAAGCAATTCTGTTGACACCTTCTTCTGTCTATAAAATGCATGAGTGGCACACAGGACATGTTTTAACACCAGACAATGAAGCGCCCCGCTCTCCACTGCTCACCAGTGACAATGCTGGTAGCTGCTTTTTTGCAGGTTCTAGTCACACCCCACTCTTGAGCTCACAGGCATCCCAGAAACAAGCTTTCCCTTCAAACCCTGGGTCCGAGCCAGATGTGAGTTCCTCATTCCAGTGAGAAATGGCTTGGAATCCATAAAACACGCCCTAAATCCATCCCATCAACATTGACCAGCCACGTTTAGCATTAGCCATAAAAACCAGCTTAGTGTGAAATCTTGAAAGAAGAAACCGAAGCTGTGGCGTGGCCCTTGCTAAATTAACCTCCCCCGAGGCACAGAATCACCGTCCAGGAGGGCTCGCAGCGTCTAATTCACGGGCAACATCTTGCTCCTGCTGAGATTTAATGTTAGCCAGATGTCACCAGAGTCCATCCTAAGCCTGACTGATCACCTGTGACATAACCTTGGCACAAAAGGGGCCATGGTGCCTGCGCCTTGAGGCTTGATTTCTGTCCCACGTCCCTACCTGCAGCGGCCCCTTGGTGGCATGCGGGTTGTCACTGCCACTCGCTCTCACTGCACGTGTCTTGTGCTCCTTGCAGGTGTTGAGGCCCCAAGTCAGGTGAGGCTCGGTTCCCCCAGCCATCCACCATGGTGGTGGCACACCCCACTGCCACTGCCACCACCACGCCTGCTACCACTGTTACCGCCACTGTTGTGATGACCACTGCCACCATGGACCTGCGGGACTGGCTGTTCCTCTGCTATGGGCTCATCGCCTTCCTGACGGAGGTCATCGACAGCACCACCTGCCCCTCAGTGTGCCGCTGTGACAACGGCTTCATCTACTGCAACGACAGGGGGCTCACCTCCATCCCCGCCGACATCCCTGACGATGCCACCACCCTCTACCTGCAGAACAACCAGATCAACAACGCTGGCATCCCCCAGGACCTCAAGACCAAGGTCAACGTGCAGGTCATCTACCTGTATGAGAACGACCTGGACGAGTTCCCCGTCAACCTGCCCCGCTCCCTGCGGGAGCTGCACCTGCAAGACAACAATGTGCGCGCCATCGCCAGGGACTCGCTGGCCCGCATCCCGCTGCTGGAGAAGCTGCATCTGGACGACAACTCCGTGTCCACCGTGAGCATTGAGGAGGACGCCTTTGCCGACAGCAAGCAGCTCAAGCTGCTCTTCCTGAGCCGGAACCACCTGAGCAGCATTCCCTCAGGGCTGCCCCGCACCCTGGAGGAGCTGCGGCTAGATGACAACCGCATCTCTACCATCCCGCTGCACGCCTTCAAGGGCCTCAACAGCCTACGGCGCCTGGTGCTCGACGGCAACCTGCTGGCCAACCAGCGCATCGCCGACGACACCTTCAGTCGCCTGCAGAACCTCACCGAGCTCTCGCTGGTGCGCAACTCGCTGGCGGCCCCGCCCCTCAACCTGCCCAGCGCCCACCTGCAGAAGCTCTACCTGCAGGACAATGCCATCAGCCACATCCCATACAACACGCTGGCCAAGATGCGCGAGCTGGAGCGCTTGGACCTGTCCAACAACAACCTCACCACACTGCCCCGCGGCCTGTTCGATGACCTGGAGAACCTGGCCCAGCTGCTGCTCCGGAACAACCCCTGGTTCTGCGGCTGTAACCTCATGTGGCTGCGGGACTGGGTGAAGGCGCGGGCAGCTGTGGTCAATGTACGAGGCCTCATGTGCCAGGGCCCCGAGAAGGTCCGGGGCATGGCTATCAAAGACATCACCAGCGAGATGGACGAGTGCTTTGAGACAGGGTCACAAGGTGGTGCGGCCAACACTGCAGCCAAGACCACAGCCAGCAACCACGCCTCTGCCACCACACCCCAGGGCTCCCTCTTCACCCTCAAGGCCAAGAGGCCGGGGCTGCGCCTCCCCGACTCCAACCTTGACTACCCCATGGCCACCGGCGATGGCACCAAGACCCTAGTCATCCACGTGAAGCCCCTGACAGCGGACTCCATCCGTATCACGTGGAAGGCCACACTCCCCGCCTCCTCCTTCCGGCTCAGCTGGCTGCGCCTGGGCCACAGCCCAGCCGTGGGCTCCATCACGGAGACCCTGGTGCAGGGGGACAAGACAGAGTACCTGCTGACAGCCCTGGAGCCCAAGTCCACCTATATCATCTGCATGGTCACCATGGAGACGGGCAACACCTATGTGGCCGATGAGACCCCCGTGTGTGCCAAGGCGGAGACAGCCGACAGCTACGGCCCCACCACCACGCTCAACCAGGAGCAGAACGCCAACCCCATGGCCAGCCTGCCCCTGGCAGGCATCATTGGGGGCGCCGTGGCCCTTGTCTTTCTCTTCCTGGTCCTGGGGGCCATCTGCTGGTACGTGAACCGGGCCGGTGAGCTACTGACCCGGGAGCGGGCCTACAACCGGGGCAAACAGAAAAAGGACAGCTATATGGAGTCGGGGACCAAGAAGGATAATTCCATCCTGGAAATCCGGGGCCCAGGGCTGCAAATGCTGCCCATTAACCCTTACCACGCCAAAGAGGAGTACGTGGTCCACACCATCTTCCCCTCCAATGGCAGCAGCCTCTGCAAGGGCACGCACACCATTGGCTATGGCACCACGCGGGGCTACCGTGGCGGCGGCATCCCCGACATAGACTATTCCTACACATGATGCCCCACCCGGCAGGCCCACCCCGGCTCCCGGCTCCTCCTGGCGTGGCTACCCCGTGGCTTTGCCCAGCTTGCTGCCATCTGACAGAGTGAGGAAAAGAAACTCCACGATGACTTTCCCAGCAAAAAGCAAAGTTTGGGGAGGGTTGACAATTTTCTAGAACACAACAGTGAAAAAAAATTTTTTAAGGATAGAAGGCAGAAGGGGGGTTTGACGTTGCTAAAGACATAATTTATACCGAATTATGCCAGTAGAGAAGGGAAGGACTAAAAATAATACTGCAGGAAGGGTTGGGTCGGGTTTTTTCCCCCTGAACTGGAAAGATACTACCTGTACAACGTCTGTGTACACCTCATGCTCTGTTCAGGGCCGTCACAAAAGGACCATGAGAGAGAAGCAGCCGACACGGAAGCCCCCACGCGGCTCTTGCTGCCGGCTGCTCACTGGCAATGACGTGTGGAAGATTTTCAGGCTCCTCACAAAGGAGAGAGGGAAGAAAAGATCTTTTCTTTTGCTATGGAGGTATTGCCCTGAAGTCTCTTCCCTGGTCTTTCCATACCATTTCCCTTATAGATTTTCAGAAATATCACGTCATTTACTGCGTTCTTTGAACAATGATGTAACCAATTAAAAAAGAAACTTACTTTTTCCTATATGAAACCCTCTTCACCTCCATGCACCACACTCCATGGAAGCCCCATGGAAGCTGCGGCTTTTCTGGCCACTTGGAGGTACACCTATCAACCTATCTCTATGTTGTGTCTCTAAACACAGACAGGTAGATAGAGCCACATAGACGGTCCTGACAGTACTTCTTGGGTCAGTTCGTACAGTTTCTTGAGACAATAGAGTCATGAAAACGTTGCTTTCTCCTAACAATCATTGAGTAAGTAGACAGTGTGTTGGGGATCCAAGTGGGGTGGGGGACAATGCTGTTCCTAAAGGCGGAGGCATGTCTGTCCTGGACAGGTGGCTGAGGGCACCCTGGGCAAGGGATGCTTTCAATTTGATCCTATCTCAGGTTGGCCAGAGCTGGGCCATGCTCTTTTCTGATATAGAGAAACTTTCTTTGACTGCTAGTGTCCTCGTCTTCTACCCCCCACCTCCCACACACATGCAATCACCTCAGTAGCTCCTTCTCCGTGCTCTTTGCTTCCTCCTGAGATAGGTAATTGGTGCAGGGATTGTGTTTTTTTTTAAATATCAGCTGATTAGATCTAATTGTTTCCATGGCTGCTCAAACAACACCCAGAAACAGACATGAAAATTCTCAGAAAAGCCCTGGGAGACAGCACTCCCAAATGCAAGACCCTGAGCTGTGCCCACCCCTGGGACTGTTCTGGAGATAGAGGCCCAGACCTCCCTCTAAACAAGCCAGACTCCAGAAGGGTACTGACCAGGGCCCTCACAAGAGCTAAGGCTTTATTTCCTCCCTCTGGAATCAACATTGCCATCATTTATCAACTGAGTGCAGTGTGGCGAGCCATGAGATTAAAACGATGATGAAATAATGACAGCAAATCTGGAAAGAAGAGAGGACTGGTGCCTGGGGTTCTGCTGTGTCTGCGTCCCTGCACATGGGGAACTTCGGTCATCATCCGTCAACATGCCACTTGTCCTATACTGGGGAAGAGCGATGTCAAAGGAGAGACACTGGGCTGAGGGCAGGGAGGATAAGAGGGGTCCAGCTCCTGGTGGTAGCGCTTTGAAAGGCCTCAGCTGCTCTGACAAAAGCCAAAGGCAGAAGGATGAGGTCACAGGGCTGCTGTGACAGGCCTGGGGCCGGCTGCTCACTGGACATGAAAAGATGCCACTGGCCCCTTCAGTGAAGGGGGGTCGAAAGAAATGGACACAAGAACTGCATGAGAGGCGGAGAAGAGACACAGGCATGGCCTGGCGAAAAGAATGGTCTCACCAAATGGGGACTCCGGACTCCTGACTCCCCAGGCCCAGGGAGAGGCCGAGGGGTACAGACACCTTTCATTCTAAAACAGGCCTTTTTGCCTTTTTCCCATTTTCTCATACAATGTCAGGAGATAAATTTTTCCAAGCCTTAATTTCACATCTGTATAAAGATGGCCCTCTGGCCTGTAGTGCCCCCCAGACACAGGTTCAGTCCCATTCCCCCAAGCTCAGGAAGGAGCAGAGGAGCCCCACTGGGTGTGGCTGGGAGGAGAGGGGGCACCAGGGTCTAGGGCATTGGCTGGAGGACAGACAGAAGTCCAAGGTCTCTGCTGTTTCTGAAATGAGGTCCCCTCCCTCAAGATACCACTCCTGCCTTCTGCCAGTGTCCCAGGAAAATTGGTCCCTGGACACCCCACTATCAGCCCGCAAGTCCCACTGCCAACATGCTTGGTCCTCCATCTCTAGGTTCTCCTTCCTCCTTTCCCCATGCCAGGCAGAGGTCAGGTCATTCCCTTAGAGGCTAGGAAGGCATCTGGAACAGCAGGTGGCCCAGTGCAGAGAGGGCTACATGTAGGGGAGGGCCTGGAGCCAACCTGTGCTGAACTTTCTTCCCCCAGAGCATTAAGCAGGCCCTGGCCCTGCCCAGGCCTGAGGACAACTTCCCTCTCCTACTCTGGCTCCCGCGCTAACAGAGCTCGGGCCCTGCCTGATTTGCCACAGGCATCGGCCCAGCCAGCTCCCTGGAGCCCGCTCTCATCTTTCCTGCCCTAAGCATCCCAACATCTTTCCAGCATCCTTTCTGAGAGTAGGATCCCAGATGTCTGCTGCCTTATGTCCCCTCGAGCCAGGGAGGGGGCCTGAAGCCAGGTCCACTCTGAAACCTCATTCCCTCCTGATCCAACTCCCACAAAACACAACGAGAAAGAAAGGGAGAGAGAGTGTGTTCCCGGGCACCCTGCCTCCCCCACCCCCAAGACGCAAGGGAGGACACAGGCCCAAGAAGCCAAGCCTGGGCCACCATGTCTGTCCAGAATCCGCCTTGTGTGGGTGGCCAGCCTGACCCCTGCAGCCTCTGACCAGCTGGGACACCTGCTGGCCTCGGCAATGGCGAGTGCATTCTGTGGCATTTAAGGCAGGTTTAAAGTTAAAAAAAAAAAGCCCACGACACTTCTTTGGTTAAGTGGTTTACCCTTCGTGGTAATTAGATGTAGTGATTGGAATCTCTTTTCTATTACATGGCAATTTTCCTTTAAATTTCCCCTTTAAAAAAAAAAAGGAAAGCAGGGAGGAGGCAGCGGGGCCAGGCGAGTCATTTGCATTTTGCGAATGAGGCCTCTTGTAAGCTCAGCTCAGGCGTTGGGCCCAATGTATGGAATGCTTAAGAGATTACTAAGAATAAAATCTATTAATTAGTCATACCCAACTCCGCAGACATGATATGCATCAAAAGCTCCTTTTCTTCCCGTTTCTCCCCTCTTCCTGTGGCCTCCCCGGAAGCCTCCACCTTCTCTAAATTGGCTCTGGCTTCCTGGACCGCCTCCCTGGTAACAGGGCACCCGGTGGCTAACTAAGGGGTGTCCCCACCGAGAGCTGGGGTGCTGGCTTCTTGATCTGGGTGACGCTGGCAGAGGAGGTGACAACAGCTGGTTAGGAAGATGGCAGTGGCTGGGGGGGCCAGGGCTTCCCCACCCAAAGCCTGAAGGCCACGCCCACCTTGTGCCTCCTCTCCCTCTCTTGAGGGGTCCAGGGAGGCCCACCAGCCCCAACAAGGGAAGCCCAAGGCCAGGCAGAGAGTGAGAAGTGGTCAGGGAGGCTCCCAGAGAGTGGCAGGGAAAGTGTTTTGCAAATCCACGGCCTCTGTTTCCCTTCCTGTAAAGTGGGAGTGGGCTCAGGTAGCGCCTAGCTTTACCCAGTAAAGCTGGGTGCCCCAGAGGCCTTCTGTCCTCTGCTGATCCCGGAAGGTTCTAGTCAGGCCAATACAGGTGATGGAGGGCCAGAGCGGGAGGGAGAGCCAGGCAAGGATCTGAGCAGGCTGACCGGAGCCTGGACAAGGGGCTGGGCAGCATGCTTGAGACTGCATCTGAGCCTCCCTTCTCATCCCCGGGAGCTGGGGAGCAAGAGGAGGACACCCTGCCCCCCCAAAAGTGGCCACCCAAGTCCCAAAGCCAACCCACTCCACTCCAGAAACCTGTGTCCTGCTGAACGCAGCAGGGAGGAAGACCAGGCATCTGAGGCTTATGCTTATGAAAAACACAGGAAGACTGGATGCGGCAACAGGGAGCAATGGGGCTGGGGCATCTGCTGGAAGGACGGGCCTCAGGGCACACAGCAGCTTGTGCCCACAAGGACCAGACCGAGCTGAGGGCGAGGACATAGCCAGGGTGAGCTGTGAGTGTCCCATGCGCCCGTGTCCCCTCCTGCACTCAATCAGCGCAGGTGATGGGCGACAGATACCTGGCACGGATAGTCGCCAGGTTGAGCACTAACAAGCAATTCACAGCCCCACGCAGGCCTTCCAGGATGCAGACAGAGGAGGCATCTTTTTTCCCTAAGGAAGGGTATAAAGGCTCAAAAATGCAAATCATTACCATTTACAACCAGGCGAGTCTGCTAAACTGATTAGGAAAGATTAAACTCCTTGGAGTTGAAGGAAAAGGGTTTTTCCAGTTTTATGAACCTGCCCCCAGTGACCACGCATGTAGCAGGGATTTTATGGCGGGGCTCAGGGGCTGCCCCTTTGCAGCTCCTGGGGGACCTGGGCTTCTTCAAAGGCTGACACCACACAGGCCAGAGTGCTCAGGAATAGCTCAGGTTTGACGGAGCCGGGGCTCAAGCATGGTCCTCAGAGAAACCAGTTCTGCCTCCACTGAGGGCCTTGTGCTCCGGGCTGTAGGGCAGGGTGGGTTACTTGGCCCACAAATGTCATTATGAAGCTGTCCTAACCCCCAGCAGAGAATCTGTCCCTGCCCTCCTGATTCTGCCTGCCTTCAGGGGTGAAAGTGAGAGGGAGTGGCCAGTCCAGTTGCTTAGAGAGTAGGACTCCAGAGCAATGAGCTTTTCTGCTTCCTTGCTGTTCCAGGATGGGTCTGTCTCTGATCCATTCCCTGCAGTCAGTGAAAGGGGAGTGGGGCCAACTGTAAAGGGAAAACTGAAGGCAGGGAAGAGAAACTGTAGCCTAGCAAAGGAATCAGGCAGTGAGCTCTCCGTCACTGGAAGCATTCAAGTACGTGATGAGACGGCAGGTATTTTCCTGCCTAAGCCAAGATGTGGTTCTTTGACTAGAAGATCTTGTTTCCTACCCTTACTTTATAACCCCCCAGGACCCTATAAAGGATATATCAACAGATGCCCACTGTGCTGCTCAGAATGACCAGTGTCCCCTGAAAATCCCAGGTCAGGGCCATCCCCCAGCCCCGTCAAATAGCTGCTTATGCTACAAAAGAGATGCCACAGAATTCCCATCCTCAGTGTCCAATAGGCACCGGGAGAGGAAGAACAGACATGCACCACTCCCTCCAGGAGCCGACAGGGAGTTCGGAGGGTGACCCACCCCTGTGGCTGTCTCACCTGGGGAAGCTAGGGGGCTACCTCCCGGGCCTCAGCCCCAGTTCCCAGGCTGCCTCCTGGACCTGCTCGAAGTGCCAGGCCCCCTGCCACCGAGCTCCCACCGCTGTCCCGCCGGCTGTGTTCCCCGCTCAGCGTACTGGGCGCCGCGGGCTCAGTGGACCCACCCCAGCCAGGTCAGTGGCTGCCGGGGCACCGTTCACCCTGCCTTTTCAAGCATTTACCATTTCTTCTGAAATGTTCCAAGTACTTGCCTGAAAAATCCACATTTGCTTCTTTAAAAACACACAAAAAGATTCCCCAGTCTCTTGATGCCTCCACCTACTTTCCCCTTTCCCTTTGCATTGTGAGTATATTGTGTTTCTCTGGTTTCATAGGTTCCACTATCGCTGGGG